CGACAGCAGCAGCAGCAGCACCGCTACCACCACCAACGGCGGCAGGCGGAGGAGCACCTCACCTGAAAGAAGGAGCCCCAGTTCGCCCATATATAGAGGTAAAGCAGGCACGGGATAGGGCTGTAACCCCTCCGGGTGTGCCCACCCCTCATATACGTTATGAAGTCTCCCTTGTCAACACAACCTCCCAAAGACCTAACACGATTCATTTAGGAAAAGTATCAGGCTTAAATTTACGATACACACGTCCGCCCCTTACCATCTCATTGCTAGGTATATTTCCTCAGAAGTTCTACTGTGTCTGAAGCTTCGGTTGGGGAGCTCAAAAGGAAGAATTAGGAGCAAATTCTTAAGCCCAAGCCTTTCCTCAGCTGAAGCCTGAAAAGGGAGGTTTGCCCCTTTATTTACACGTTGATTACTTGCTCCTTTAACACTGTTTATCACTCTAAAAGAGTATTTGAATTAGACAGACTAAAAAGTAATAAAAGATTTTTTTCCCGAACCCAGATAGGTGGGTATAGTGAGGGCTGTGAACCATATTGATAATTAAAAATATGGAAGCTTGGTGGTTAATTTGGAATAACACAACTCGAAATGCATTATATGTTGTGTGAATGCTGAAGCAGATTGGCTTGCCCTTTTAACATTACATGTGTATCAACGTTTTTAAGGGATTGAGAGCTTTAAATGCTGAATTTGTGCTTTATATGGATATGCTCATCTGTTTCAGTGACTAAAATACTTTAAGAGGCAACTAGAGCTTTAAGGGACTTCAGGGGAAGCCAAGTGCTGATACTAATTTCTATATAACTAACATTCCTAACAATGCATTTTTTAAGAAACCCTTATATAGTTATAGAAGTAAGGAAAATGACTGGATTAAACATATTGCTAATACAAGTGGAAATTCTTTGTTAATATTAACTAAGATTTAATGGCAGAACAATTGTTTACAGTACAGCATTTCTAAAACCTGTGGGTTTTGTGTGTGCCTGCAGTCTGTCTAAAAAGCCTAAAAAATATTTCTCCATTAATGCAATCTCTTTGCAGAGTTAAAACTAAATGCTAGTGAACTCTATAGTATTAGAATACGTTCCTTGTATTTTCATTTTAAATGTGCTATGTAGATTTGTAAACTAAATTCTTAAATATATTGCAGGTATAAATCAAAACAAATTCTAAGAAGTGTGTACAAAAACTAATAAATTATTTAAGTTCTTCTAAAGTAATAGTGGTTATTTTTACTGTCCAACTCTCCCTCTTTTTCCTTTCAGCAGTTAGATGAATCAGATTAATACACTACTTAATTTTGCTATAATTCTTGGATATTCTTTATCTTTCAACACTTTTGCATCTATAATCATGCTGGGTCTGTGTTTAATTTTAATAGCAAATTAAATAAGTCTCTTGGTGTAATACTGAGAGCAGAGGTTGAAGTCATTCTTGGCTTAAATCATTCCTATTAATTCCTTAGATAGTTACATGAGCTTCACAAAGCCGGTCACTCTCCAAAGTAAGTTTTAGTATGCAGATTTGAAAAACAATTACACCAAATGTGAATAAGTTTTTCTTTGCATTTGAATTACATTTGAAAATTGAAAATTTGAAAAAAAAACATTTGTTTACTTCAAAAGACAAAACACATATATAAGAAGTTGATGAGAAATCTTCTGTTTTCATGGAATATTTATTCAGGATAAAGTAAATCTGTTTTATATATAACTTAAATCTTTTCCTAAAACATTTTAAAAAGTGTAAATTAACTTATTTTCAGTTAATCAGCCATTTAAGCTAGAAATGAGTGACTTCATGACATGTTTTTACTCTGCCTTTAGCCTTTGTAGCAGTCTACAGCTTGATGTAAGTGTGAGAGTACAATATATAAACATATGAAGTAGCTGACAGACATAGTTACCTGAATCACGTAATACTGTAATGATTCAGCCAGTTTGCCCTGAATGGTTGAAAAGTACATAAACTGACCAGTTTACTTATCCGTTCCTGTAATTTGATAAGTGTGTTTCTTTATACAACTGAATAACCTTATTCTGTAAGCTACAAAGTAAAATGCATTTCTGCAAAATTGCTTTGTGGGAAAATTTTCATTGAACACAACCAATACCATTCTTCTGGTTTGTTGCTCAGTTGCTACCTCTTTGGCCAGTGTAGCACAACTGAAATAGCAACCTGTGTTTGCAGAGACTTTAGGAGTTGCTTTGAACACTTGCTATGTTGGGAGACAGCAATGCTTCAACTACTAAACATCTGAGAATCTTACTTTGTATTTATATCAACTGCCAGAAATGGGAGTGTAACCATCAGTGTTTAATATAAAAATGCTTGGTTTTGGCTGTGCAAGTGAACTGTGTTCTGTTTTTTAGGAACAATATAGGACTGAAATAATTTTTCTGTAGTGTTGTATTATACTTCCACCTTTTTACAATACAGCTATTGCAGTGAAATTTTTCATATATGTAAACAAATTGCCAGATATTCTTAAAAGAAAGCTGCAAAGTGCTCTGGGTTGGAAGCTTGTATAGGTCAGGCAGCTGCCACTGCAGACGCTGACATCATTACTGCATGAATGAAAACAGCTTCCTCTAAGAGCGCTTTCTCCTCCCCCATCATCATTTTTCATCTATTTGATGCTTTCAAATGCTTGCTTCAAAATTAGTACTAATTCTGATTTTAAAAAATTTCAAGCCAGACAGTAATTACATCTTAAATTTATAGGTATACTTTTTGAAAAATGTTATTGTTTCTTCCATGTTTATCAGCTTCATCTGCTTAACTTATACATCTTTATATTTTATGCTTGTATATTTTTAGTACTACATATTATCTGTATCTTACAGTTTGTGGATTTCTATATAATATTGAACTATCTCTTGCTGTATTTCTATTCAAACATGAAAATATGTGCAATACAGCATATATTTTATAGAATGCTTTGATAATATTACAAATGAAAAATATGGAGGAGTTAACTCATTGTAAATGATTGCAGAGAATAAACGTAACTGACTAGCATGGATCAACTGTCATTCCATTAATATATTGGCTGCCCAAATAAAACGGTCATTGCCTTTAAATTGGGAGAAATGCAAGCTACTTTTAAAATGATAGTTTCTTTTAAATAAAATTAATGTATTGTAAATATCTTACATCCTTTTTCAAATGTGTGTAAAAAGTCTTTAAAATCTATAAAGACAGAGTAGAAAGTGATGTTTAAAATGTAGAATTACTTAAGCATAGTTTAAATAAGAATATTTGGGATTGTCATTTATAATGATTAATTTTTTATTAAGCCTCTAATGAGCCAATATTTTATTTGATTCTTTGATTGTATTATGTGAGGCCTAGAACACATCCAATAAGTTTTCCTCACCAGCTCAAAGCTTTGGCCAATCTAATTTTTTTAAGGTGAAAGGAAATTGAGCTGAGTCATAAATGATGAGCATATGGTAAAAACTGAGATTTGAAGTTGGTTCCATATTTGGTTTCATATTGTATGATAGATAAGGAACTCTTTCTGATGTGTCTGCTGGACCAGTGACTTGAAATGTCATAATGTTTGAAGAGCTATCAGATTGTTTCTAAATTTATGTTTATGAGGTTCTGAATTCTGAATGTAGTTTGTCACTGATTGTTTGGATGGGGGGAACTTCTGTTTACTATCAAGTTCTAAAATGTAATAAAATTAATTATATCCCTGAACTTGAACTACTCTGGCCAAAATCCAAAGAACTCTAATATTAGTTTGGTAAGCCCAAGGAAGATTTAAATTTCTGTTTTGTTTTTTTCAAATACTGATATTATTCCAATATTATTTTTCATGTCAGCGTTTCCTGAAATTTTCTTTAACTTTAGAGAAGCAGTGGATATGTCAAAGAAATTGACATTTCAATCAAATTTAAAGCTTGGATATTAATTTTTTAAAGTCCTAAATACCTACATTCAAATTTTGTGAATGGACTGTCTTAATTCATATGAACATGTCCAAGTCTCAAGGTCATTAAAGTGGCTCATGTTTTTTTTAGCATGTATTAAACCTGGTAAAATAAGCCTGCCTGCCTGCCTTCCTGATAGATATTGAAAACCTATGCAGAAAGACTAATCATAATCTTGATGCTGCTAGTTTGAATGAAGCTTTGTATTATTACATATATTGCTATGTTAGTAGTATGCAATTGTGTATACATTGTTGCAACATAGGATGCAAATAACTGCAAACTAATAAATAAATTTGCACTCCTAGCACAGCTGTATTGGTCTAAATGATTCTGTGGCTCATGATTCAGAGAACAGATTTAAGGTTCAAACAAATCAGTGGTGAGTGTGGGTAGAATAGTTGCTTACAGAAGAATGCCTCATCAGTTATGTGTTTTGCCACATAAATTAGCCTATTTGCAAGTAGACACACTAGTTTTGAGTGGCTGACATGCTGACTACACAGACAAATTACAGGTGCAAAAAGCACTCTGGTTGGGTTTCTGCAATATGTACAGTTAAAATGTGGTTGGTTAGTTTGTGGTTCAATTGCTATAGAAATCCAGTCAGTGTGGTTTGTTTACAATTCCATATATTGTGTGAGCTAATTCATTAACCCATAGTTTAGTTACCTATGGGGTAGAGTGTTGCATGAATACAGCTATGTCACACACAATGCATACACAAAAAAGCAAGCCTTCTAAGACAGCTGTCATATTTATTTTTTTAGTTATGTTAGATTGTGTTAACTGTATATCAGTCATAGTAAAAAGAACATTATGTAAAGAGTGCTTCCATTTTTTTTTTTTTGCAGAATGCCCATTGGGTGTATTTGGAGGGGGAAAAACCCCTTTCCCTAGCATTTACTGAACTAGGATAGTGAGTTTACCTCAAAATCTTACATGCCACATATGGTGCTGTTAACCTAGTGGACTTAATAGCCTTAGTTGTATATAGGCTGTAATGGTGATAGTCTCACTATGGATGATGTTTAAGTAAAAAAAACAAAACCCAAACCTTGCTTCCTTATTAAAATAAAACCACTTAGGAACTACATTCATGACTTTCTTCTGCTTTGTATCCTGAACTTGAAACAAAGTGATTTCTACATACTTAGCAGGAAGGGTGGTAGCTATAAAAAGAATTGTTTGCAGTTTTTTTTTAGAAGCCTGATCAGGATTGAGCATGCTTATTGCCTTTTACGAGGGAAAGAAAAATAGAAACTTTCTTAGGCCAAAAACCTATAATTACATTTTTTCCCCTCCTCCCTCAAAATATTGGAAGTTTTTATGGTCTTTTCCTCCAATCTTAGTTTTCATTCCACAAAACCTTTAGGTTGTGAAGAAAGGGAGTAGATTTCATCAAAGTTAAAAATATCTTGGAAGGCATAAAGACACTGGGAACATGCATAATATTAATGTGTATATCCCTGGCTTTAATTCACCATAATCCCAAACTTTCCCATAGCCTGAGATGGGGAGAAATGTGCCTTGCATTCTCAATTTGGGTTTTAGAGTTGATGAATAGTTTAGATAATTACAACATTTTTGTTTTGCTTTCCTATTTGAACGAGAACTTTCAAGGCAGTTTTCTTCTTTCCTGGTCTCACATCTTCGGTAGTATTATTTTGTAACTGCAATATATTATTATACTGCTGAGATTCAGCTGTAGTGAACAAGAATTTGCTAATTGTTTTCCTGGGGGGGGAATTACCAGTTGTGCAAAATATATAATATTACAATCATCCTTGAATATACAAAGCCTTCATATATACGTCAGAATATGAATCATTGTTTGATTTACATCAACTGAACTTCTTTTTATGCATTTGTCAATGCAGCTTCAAGATCATGGACAATAGTGAAATTAACAAAAGCAGAAAATCAAACCCAGTAAAAGACTGAACACAATAAAAAGGCAGTAAAAAGCACCCGTGACAGACAATTCCTGGTCAGTGACAATGCACATAACTGGATTGTAACTTCCTTAGGGGCTGTACCTTTGAAAAGGTTTTTCTCCTTCTAGTAGCTATAAACATAACATAATATAATAGTTTTTCTTTCATTATATGTGTTTCATAAAATATCCATACAATTTTAGTTGATGAGAAGAATTTTAAGATAGCAGAAAGTAAGAGGAGGCTGTTTTGTAAAATTATCTTATTGTTACAGTGCAAGAGTGTTATAGTTGTCTGATTCATATGTTTGAACCAGATATAACCTGTATTCTGACTTTCCAGATTTCTTCCTCCCCCCAAGTTTCCAGTTACATTAGAAATGTAATCATAGGATCGCTATAATGCATTCTCTATTTCTGCTAACAAAAAAGTTGATTAAATACATCTATGGTATACTTCCTGTTAAAAGAACATTAGTTGATAATGTAAAAAAAATTAATCTCAGGGTGGATAAAATACTTTTAAAAACATAAATTGCACTGTTTTGAATTTAAATCAGATTTTTAAAAACTTTTTTTTTTTTTTGCAAAATGGGAAGTTAACTGACCTCTCAAAAATGCAAAAATAAAGTCAGTTAAGATTTTGAGATGATAGAGTAGATCTGGACAAGGAAGAAGATTTGAATATATATGGGTATATAAAAGGAATAGAGGAGGACAGAAATTTTTAAAAAGTGTGCAGAACGTATTTTTGCATACTTGAGAATTTGCAGGAATACGTTTTTGGTCCTAAAGTATATCTTCTGTCAACTAAAAGTAAAGCATAATTATGACAGCAGGCCATAATAGCTCCAATTAAAAGAATGAAGCCTCTGTGCTTTATTAGGCAAACGTAGAAAGCAAATTCATTGGGTTATTTTTTTTGTAAAAATATTTTATTATGGAAGAAAATTAACAAAGCCAATTTAATAATCTCAAGATTGTATATCTATTTCTTGGTAGTACAGCTAGCATTTCCTTTTTTGCCCCCAGAAATCTAATTTGGAAAAAAACCCCTGACTAAATAATTACTTTATCTGGTTTATGCCTTATAAAATGAACACTACATCTCTTCAGTACTAAAGAATATGTATTTAGGTCATATCAAACAACAAGAATGCATTTTTACAAATATAGAATTTTTGCTCAGTAGTTGATAAATTGTGATTTAAATAATTAAATTGAGTCTGGCTGATGTTTTAAATCATGATTTTAACCGTAACTTAAATTAATTTGATTTAGTATAAATTCATTTTGCTTAACTTACCCTGAAAACATTTTAGAGAACCATTTTTTTGTCATAAAGAGGTCAGATATGCTTTAGAAAGGTTTCAATTAGTTAGCTAATTGTGACAGAATTCTTGATTGAATTAATAGTTTGTGTCTCAGCCACATATTATGAGAACTTATAGTGAGTCTATTGTTAAAAATAGCATTTCCATGGTATGTTTTCCCCAATCCATGAGTAGCTTCCATATTGAATAAGTGAGAATGTCATCAGTATGGTATCTTTTTTATCTATTCTGGCAGAATGGCTCAGAAAGTGGAGGTAGAAAAACTTGCAGCTATGTGGGTTTCGTAGAATATGTCATCTGAGTAATGAGTTATTTTTAGATAGGTTTTGTATTATTGCATTAAGAAAATACAAAGATAAAACTGTAGGTGTGCTGAGAGAAACTGACAAGGTTCCATAACACTAACATTAGGCTTTATTTTCTTAATAAATTTACTGTTTGTCTAAGTACGGTACCTAGCTATCACAACTGTCATAAATTTGGAAACAATATTTTTTTGGAATATTTACATATACTTTTAAGTGCTTCTTAAAAGTTAGTGAACCTCTAGGATTATCAGTTCATTTGAAGGGGAAATTAGAGTCAGGTGTTTCAGTCAATTGGATGATAATCAGGTGTGTATGTGGGAGGTCAGAATACTGGGTGTTCACTATCAAAGTCTGATTTTCCCAACACAGGTATGTGGGAATGTTTCATGGCTCAAACAAAGGAAATTTCTGAGGACCTCCAAAAAACAGTTGTTGATGTTCACCAGACTGGAAAAAGTTAAACTATTTCAAAGGCTTTGGATTCCACCAGTCCACTGTCAGGCAGATCATGTATAAATAGAGGCAATTCAATACCATTGTTACCCTCCCCAGGAGTGGCTGACCAACCAAAATCACACCAAGAGCAAGGCATGTAATACTCTGGGAGGGCTCAAAGAAGCCCAGGGTAATGTCTAAGGAACTAAAGGCCTCTCTTGCATTGGTGAGTCTCAGTGTTCATAAGACCACCATCAGGAGAACACTGAATGACAGTGTGTGCATGGCAGGGTTGCAAGAAGAAAGCCACTACTCTCCTAAAATAACATTGCTGCCCTTCTGCAGTTTGCAAAAGACCACGTGAATAAGCCAGAAGGCTACTGTAAGAATGTTCTGTGGATGGATTAGACCAAAATAGATCATTTTGACTTGAATGAAAAGCATTACATTTGGCAAAAGGCAAACACTGCATTCCAGCATAAGAACCTTACTCCATCTGTGAAACGTGGTGGCATTATCTTGATTTGGGCCTGCTTTGCTGCTTCTGGACCAGGGCAGCTTGCCATCATTGAAGGAACTATGAATTCTGAATTGTGCCAGCAAATTCTATAGGAGAATGTCAGGGTAGCTGTCCATGAACTGAAGCTCAAGAGAAAGTGGGTCATACAGCAAGACAACAACCCAAAACACAGAAGTTGTACCACCAAAGCATAGTTAAAGCAGAAGCAAGCTAATGTTTTTGAATGACCTAGTCAAAGTCCTGACCTTAATCCTATAGAAATGTTGTGGAAGGACCTGAGGCAGGCAGTTCATGAGAAGCCCACCGACATCCCTGAGTTGACGTTGTCCTATAAGGAGGAATGGGCTAAAATGCCTCTAAGCTGATGTGAAGAACTGACAACAGTTATCAGAAAGTTTAGTTGCAGTTATTGCTGCCCAAAGGAGGCGCACCAGTTATTGAAAGCAAAAGTTTGCATTGTTTTGCTGCACACAAATATGTAGCTTTGGATCATTTTCCTCAATAAATTAATGTTTTTGACTCATTTGTTTAATTGGATTCTCTTTATTTTGTTTCAGGACTTGTGTGGAGAACAGATTGTTTTAGGTCATATTTATGCAGAAATATTGAAAAATCAAAAGGGTTCACAAACTTTTTAGCATCACTGTAGCATAGACTCAAACCATGCCATCTAGTAGAATTATTTTTCCCTAATAAAACGGGTAAAAAGGTCAGCCACATGAAGACTTGACGTAAAAATTGGGTTGTTTGGTTTATCAAAATGCCTATTATCAAAAGAAATAGCATAGAAGCTTAGATTTTTAAAAGAAGTATCTAAAGAGGGAAGGATGATAAATTTCTCAGTTAAGTGTTTTTCCCCAAGTTTATCTTAACCATAATCTGGTTGTAGCAGGCATGATATTTCTTCTATCATAATAATACTTCTAACTGCTGGAATTCCTTTACTGAGAGAGATTTAAAATGAAATTGCTTCTGAAAGAGATTGTTGCTCATTCATGGATCTTTTGTGTAAATTGTCACATTGAAAACAAGGATGGAAAACTATAACCCTGTACTTGCAATCTTGCATGTAACATATTTTTATTTCAGTGGACAGGCCAAAAGCCCAGCAAATTAGAACATCTAATACCATAAGACGGACCTCTTCGTTGGATACAATAACAGGACCTTACCTCACAGGACAGTGGCCGCGAGATCCCCATATACATTATCCTTCATGCATGAAGGACAAATCTACTCAGGTAAATCTGAGAAGCCCATCACTGTTACTTAACTGCTGTCTAAATTCTAATGATGCAAGATATATATGTGATAAATATAAAAAAAAACCTGGGTATGGAGGGTAATAAAAAAACAAAGATTTTGAAGATGCATACTGTTCTTTATGCTGACTTCTTGCTAAACAGAAGCGCATTTCTGTAGTTTATGCCTGCCTTTTCCATTCCTTTCTCTGTCTTTCTCTTCTCATTGTTCCATCCTCATTACCCTAGCTATATTTGATAAGGAAGAGGCACAGCTGTTATATTATACATTTGTCAGAGTACAGTGTTGGAACACTAATTCTCTCTTATGTCCCCACTACTGAATATTCCTGCCTTTCAGGCATGGTGTGAATGTATCTTCCAATATTTTTGGTGATATGAGAGCAGATACTCAACCATTTCATAACAATACCTTTCCTGTCTGTACAGTTACAAAATGACAGACTGTAGTGCATTGGATCTTAAGTTTTCATAATATTTCTTAAAATTATTTGAGTGGTTCTGTGGACAAACTCTAAACTGCAGTAAAAGAGCATTTGGTTTATTAATTTGCTTCATGGTCTTAGAGCTTTCTGCTCATTGAAGGGCAGCTTCATCCAATTATGAAAATAATTTAACATTTGAAGCATGATTAAGTCAGACATGGATATATAATACATATTCTTAACCTAAATTTTGTCTGCTTGTTCAGATTGCATGGTAGTTACTGACCTTGTGAACACACTGTCTAAATCAGCTTTTCTCAACCTTTTGACCCTGGAGGAACCCTTGAAATATTTTTCAGGCCTTGGGGAACCCCTGCACATTCAGGCTCAAATATAGGCCAGAAGTTACAAAATTACTGTATTTGTTTCATGTGTATATGCTACTTTTAAGGGTGTGTACAGTTTTTGAGCGATATATCAAACTGTCATGAATGATAACTGCAAAATACTTCTCAGGGACGCAGATGACGCCGGCATGCTGAGTTGGGTTGGCCAGCCTCCACTCCTCTCTCTGTACCACCAGCACCTTGTTCTCCAAATCCAGCTTCTCCTTTCCTGCCCCCCCTTCCACCTCCTCTCCAAGGACCCCTTTGTAAAACTAGAGGGGGCTCATGCCTTGCAACCTCCAACACCTCTCTCCCTAATATTTGGACTCCTCATCCTCTCCTGAACTCTTGGCACCTTGATGCCAAAGCCTCCACCACCACCACTTTTTCCTTTCCCCCTGCCTTTGAGGGTGGCTCCTGATGCCGCTGGTGCCTGGGCCTGCCCAGCCCCACATCTCCTGCACCCACTTTGAGACAGAACCCCCTGGACCACTGCGCCTGCACAAAGGCAGGTGCGTACCAGTAAGAAGAGCCCTGGCATAGAGGCCTCTCTCGCACTCTTCTCACCACATGCTGCTCCTCCCTCCTCTCCTCCAATCCCCGCCTCCACCTGGGGTTTGAATGTGCTCTGGCGGGCCAACCCAGTGTTGGAGATTGGAGGGTTTTTGTTTTTTATCTCTGCTTTTTTTTAAACAAACCATGATCTCCCAGAGAACCCTAGTGACCTCTTGCAGAACCCTAGGGTTCTGCAGAACCCTGGTTGAGAAACCCTGGTCTAAATGATGAGCGTGTTACAATATTGATAAAGCAGTTTTTATATTAATAGAGGACTTTCTCATACATTCCGTATCTTCTTTATGTGCCTGCTTTTTTTCTGTGTGGCTCTTGATACAGCTCTAAACAGCACAAGCACAAGATGGAGGAACAAGATAGATGTCTGGTTGTTCTTTCAGGAAGCAAGCTTGAAAGGATGTTGTTCCCTTGCTATGATGTTGACTTGTTTTGTTATGAGTTTGATGTAGAATGTTAATCGTGGGTACAAGTCTTTGGAAAAATACCTGTACTGTTGTCTGAGAAGAGGTCTTTTTTGAATTCAGAAAACATGTATTTCTATCTTCTGTTAAATTTTATCTATCTCTCTACCTATCTGATAGAAAAGAGAAATATGGAAGAATAGACACTGGATTTTGGTAACATACTTGACAGAGTTAAGATAGTGGATTGTTTCCTTTTTCAGCCAGGGTTCCATGAGAGGTTGCTAGGGGTTCTGTGAGAGATTGTAATTTAAAAAAGAACAAAACAAAACATTGTTTTAACTTTTGCTGTGCAGTGTTAGTGCTCACACTAGTGGGTATTTTAAAAAGTGGGCTGCTGGATTGTTACTTAGCTGTTGTTGTAAGCATTGTAAAATGTGGATTGTGTGAGTTAGAAGAGAACTGTATTTTGAAGTTTTTGTATTTTTTGTGATTCTTATGCAGGGATTTCCTGCAACCTGAAAAGGCTTTTTCTAGGGTAAAATGGTTGAGAAAGGCTGGTTTAGGTCATTATATTTTATTGTCCTGTTTTAAGACCTCATTGAAAAGATAGGTATGAACTTTGATTTTTTTTCTATTAAAGGAAAGTTAAATTATCCATTAGGGATGAGCATTTTTTTTTTTCAGCCTTGGAATGGAACATTTTGTAGCATTCTCCTCCAGACCATGCTGTTCCAGGAGTATTTTGAGGTGATCCAGACGTGTTGTTTTGGATGAAACAGGCCTGCTTTGGCGCCAGACCATTCCAGCAACTTTCAGACTACTGCCAGTTCAGTGGCTTTACTTTAAAAAACTGCCAAACTGCCCCAAAAACAGAATATACTGAGGGTAAACAAAATATTTTAGAGTTCACTGGAATTTTAGTTCCCAGAACAACAAATTTTGCACAACTCTAATTTCTATTCCAAATATTTTTATTCAAACTTTGGCAAATGCATAGTACTAAAATAATTTCTGCCTTAACATGATAACTAGCTTAAATCAAGTAGTACCTGAACAATTCCTTTTAAGAAGTTAGCCTGAATATATTTAATTATGCACAAGATGGACAAGGTGAGACAGTGCACATTTGTCCCACATCTTCAGTCCCTAACCATTCTGTGTGGAGCAACAAGATTTGGGGAGAGAAAGTTCTACTTGTTTTCACTTGAACACATGTAGGATGTTCCATGCTTTGGGGACTGTATGGTTGAGGCACTACATTTTCTCACGCTTCTCAGTAGTCTGTATTTAAGTGAAATAGATAGAATCCTACTTCCTCTGCACCTTGCACTGCATGGGACAGTTAGACTGAGGGATGGAGCAAGTATCCACAGGGATATTGGGGAGAGTAGCACCTGAAATTTCACATATGTAACAGAATTGGTCAACTTGGGTAGAACAGATTAATGTCTGTACAGTTCCTCTATATGCTGTGAACCTGTTCTATTTGAATATATTTGGGAAACGTGAGATTTTTGAGGACAGAAATGAAATTTAATATTTCGACTCTTACTCTCCTTTTGGTGAATTATTTCTGTAGGTTTAAAGTTGATGTTAAAGCGCTAGTAGTGCCTTTATTTGTCAGGTAAACTAAAATTGCTGTAGATCTTTTCAAATCTCAAAAATACAAAATATCTCCATAAAGAAAAATATTTTATGATGTAGACCGTAATTGATATGACAGTTTTTAACTTTTAAAAATACTGAGATATTTAAGACTATCTAATTTTATGAATTTGTCTGACTCTTGAATAATAGTTAATAGGAGAGCATTGAGTTGAAAGTACTATTGCGGTAATTAAGAATAATTTATTAAACTTGTATGCTCCCCGACTATCAACTACTGTGGGAAGCTCACAACACTTAAAGAAATTACAATAACTGAATAGTTATCCACTTTCCAATATATGCATTTAGGCAGTTTTTTGTAAGAAGAGTTTCAATCAATTATTGCCTACTTTGGATGAAGCCACATTCACTTTTTATTACTGGTTGGTTGGTTATAGCTACAGATGTGTTAATGACTATTACATTAATAGTTACTACTACTATTAGGGGGCATTGAATTTTGAATTGAGTTTCAGGTTTGGAGAGAGTACATAGCTCAGTGATTTAGTTTGCATTCAAAAACTCTTAGGTTTAGTCCTTTGCATTTCCATTTAAGACTAGGATGGATACCTGTGGCCTTCTGAGCATCTCTCATTATTAGCCAAACTGGCTAAGGCAACTACAGTTTGCAGTTCAGTATCATCAAGAGAGTTATAAGTGCCCCATTCCTGAGCTAGAATAAGGTCAGGATAGTGCTGCCAGCTAGAGTAGACAATATGTACAGGTAGTCCTCGCTTAATGACCATGCGTTCAGCGACTGTTCAAATTTATGATGGTGCTGAATGAAGGGACTCACAACCTGTGCCCAAAGTTATGGCAGCCCCCCCCCCCCCGGTCATGTGATTGCAATCTGGGCCCTTGGCAATCAGTTTGCACCAGTTGCCAAGTGCCCCACGATCATATGATCG